CCTAGAAGAAGCTTTACACCTGGTAGCAAAAATGTATTAGTTGACCTCAAAAAAGTTTTACTGTTTGCTCTTGATATCAAAATTGACTTAATAAAGCAGTTTGTTAAAGACCTAGACAGTGTTTCAAATATTTGTGCAAGAAATTTCCAGTCATATCTGATACCAAGATAAAAGAAGGTATTTTTGTTGGGCCGCAGATAAGAACATTATGCAAAGACAAGGATTTTTAAAACACCAATGTCTAGAAAAACACCAGGGTTTCATTTAAAGAAGTAATTGTTAAGTTTCTTGGGAACTCTAAGGACGGAAACAACGAAAGTATTGTTCAAAATATGTTACAACACTTTCATCTAGGTTGTAATATGAGTTTGAAAGGGCATTTCCTGTTTTCACACTCCAACTATTTTCCTGAAATCTTGGAGCAGTTAGCGAAGAACAAGGAGAGAGTATTCACCAGGACATTAAGGAAATGAAGCGGCGATACCAAGGCAGATGGAGCATAACGATGATGGCGGACCACTGTTGCATGTTAAAACGGGATATACTCTTAAAAACACACAGCCGAATGTCCAGAAAACGCAGCTTTCTGACAAAAAGATAAAGATTTCACTCAAAGTCTGAGTAAAGTTTTTTTTTCACTTTTTTTAAACTAGGATTCCATATTTCCTTTTTCCTTTATATTTGCAAAAAAAACCTTTACGCGATTCAAATAAACGCATAGAATTTTTGAAATCAGCCTACCAAAATTATATAAAATTAGTTTTCAAAATAAAAACATCAAGTTTAATTTTGTAGACCTGTGTTATTTATGAAAAACTAAAACAAACTTTTGAACCTTTGACATTCAGTATCTCCGGCATTATCTACTATTGGATTGAGATAAGTCGGATTGTATTGTCATATTTGGCACGCAAGAATTTCGGAATACATAGAATTATGGTTCAAAATGCTGATCTTTCTGTCGTTTGTTTTAAATCATTGCAAAAATGTGCCCACCTCTTATTTTAAAATTACGGTGGTCTGTGTTTAAATGACACGAATGCACTTTTTTAACAGTAAATCTTAAAACTGAGCCAAAACTAAACCCTCTGCAATTGGCAAATATTTTTTATTATTCGGAATCCGAAATTGTAAAGCAAAATTTTAACATTTTTTTTATCTCGGAAACGATTCACTTTTCTATGATTAGATAAAATATTCTTGAAGTTTCAGTAATTTATCTAATTTAGTGATTAATCACTGTGTAGTTGTATAATTATTTTATTTAAAAAAATTTTATTAAAAATATGTTATTTATTATATTTAATAGGTATTTCAAAGATTAATGATTTCTCTAGAGCCATTGTGGTGTCTTGGAAGTGGCTTAATACCAAAACGTCATTACACTACTTGGATTTAAATGTTCATTTCATTTGGTTAAATTCAGCCTACAGATACTAGCTTATAATGGCTTTTCTGCACAATTTTTTAAATACCTCTACGGTCAGTAAATCGGTTTTATTGTCTGCAGGATGAGGATAGCGTCGCCCCCAAAATCACCAGAAGTCGCTCAAAAACCAAACTGGAAGACTCTGGGTTTCAAGATTTCAAGAAGCCGTTGGGCGTGAAAAAGAAAGGATCGCCTTCAATCAAAGACATGCGCAAATCTTTCAGCCTCAAAACGACTAAAGTCACGACGTTAAAGAGGAGCAAGCGGCTGCAAGCGCAAAGTAAAGAAGTCGATACAGAAAAAGGCAAGCGCGAGAAGAAGGTGTCGATCAATAACAAGCCCGACCTGGCCAATAGTACAAAGATGCCGGAAAAAACCAAGTCCGGTTGTATCAATCCTTACCCAGAGTTTGACAACTTCTACCGAATCAAGAAGATCACTGATCATTCGATTGACAACTTGAAAATCAGCTCTTTGACGTTCGATGACGTATTCGATAAAGCTTTTTTTAATCGGATAAAATGCAATATCGAGGAGAATTTGTTACATCATATTGATGGAAAACTATTCAAGAACGAGGAATCCGAGAACCGTATATCGAATTTCGAAAAAGTCTCACCAGTTGCTCAAACCCTTCAAAATTCGACATCCGAGAACTACGGATGCGAGTTGTCGTTAAACGCTGTCACCCCAGTGGCGGCGCTCTCGTTGAATTCGCAGTTTGGTGAAGATTTTGAATCGCAGATCGAGTACGGCTCGAAGCCGTCTAAGAAGAAGGCGCCCATCAAAAATGACGAGATCCATTACAAGTACTTCACTCGGCGCAAATACCAAGCGAGCATATTAAGGCAGAAGGAAAACCGCGATCTTAGCAAACTGGACATGTGGACCCAGTTAGTGATCAAAGAACGGCAGCAGAAGATGATCAATGAGAAAAAATCGTCAAAGGAAATGCAGGAGTATACGGAGGGTGACGAGTACAAAAGTAAAATCAAACGCGAGGAACTCAACAGGATCTTGGACAGGCGGGGTCCCTTCGAAGATCTGAAAGAGGAGGTGTGCAAGCGGGCGGCGTTTGATAAACTAAACTCCTCCTCCGACTGCTACATAAGCGAGGAAATCTTCTCTGTTGTCCGGGAAGTGCTCAATGATCTCTTAAAAAGAACGTTCGAGGGTATCGAAGATGACCACCCTCTGCCGCTGACGAGTGTGGAGAAACAAATTGACCGCAGAGATATTCCGGCCTATTTAAACCTCCGTCAAACGTCCCTTCTTCCGAGCGAAGGAGACATAGACAGGTCGGACAGAATAGCGTTGATATGCTCGTCACAGGAGACCGAAAATTTCGAACTGCCAACGAACAAGGCGCGCGGTAAAGACGAACTAGTCGAGCTAACGGGCGAATGGGCGAGATCTCGTATCTATATCTGCGGAGCGTGCGCCCGCAGATTTCCTAACCTCAAATATCTACTCGAGCACAAGAGCGTCCATCATCAGAACGTGTGGGTGCAACATTACGAGTTCGTGGGGAATCAAAGCGAACTGTATCGCCATTTGAGTATTCCGGTGTTGGGAAAAGTGGGCGTGGTCGAGGATACGGTGCAATGCAAGCAGTGGAAACGGAGCGAGGCCAGAACATGTACGAAGTGCGGGAAACGGTGCAATTCTTTGGGTGAACTTCATCGGCACGTGTTGGAGTGCGCGGGAGATTGGACTTGGCTATTGGCGCGACGAAAGTGCAAGTATAAACCGTTCGGTGCGAAGTCGCGTCGGAAACGGAAAGGTAAATACTACATTTTGACTTGTTTTGTATTTTTTTCAGGGATTTTGCGACATGAATTACCTTATTGTTGAATGGTCATTTATTTAAAACGCAATAAATTTCCTTTTGTTATTAGAGCTTGTGCACAAACAGTTCATGACTTGATTGAAGTTTGTAATAAGTAGCAGTGTTCTATGTGAATATAAGAAGATAGTTCATTCTATGTCTACGATTTATCCCCTTTACACCAGATTTTTTGGATCAAACAATAATTTTTTAGCCGAAAACTCGTACGTATGTCACTGGTAAAATTGTTTATAAATATTGTGCCACAAAAGCTATTTTTCTTCTGAACTCCTGCGTCAAACTTGCTGACGTTTCGCAAGTTATGACGCTCCTTCTGGAAGGCGTTTTATATATAATGACTTTCAACGAAACCCGTAATGATTTGGAGATATTATTTGTTTTATCAGTCTGTAGCTTACACATGGTTTCGGTTTAAGTTTTTTTAAAAAATGTAATGTAAAACTTCTGGATTCCTCCTGCGTCGGTTTTTGTTGACTCGAACTAGCTAACGTTTCGCCAATCGTCCTGTTGGCTTCTTCAGAGCTTGACTGAAGCTGGCTCGCATTTGGTAGAACTACCAACGGAAAATCCGAGAGTCTATAGAAATCTATAAGCAACCTAACAATCTTAACCGCGACTCAGGTCTTTACCTGTCACCAATATGGGAATCAGTCATCCAAGACGGTGTTTCTGCCGCTCACTTGGCTCAGCCCCCCTCAAGCACTATAAAAGCAGGTACAGAGTAAAATGCGAGCCAGTTTCAATCAAGCTCTGAAGAAGCCAACAGGACGAATGGCGAAACGTTAGCTAGTTCGAGTCAACAAAAACAGACACAGGAGGAATTCAGAAGTTTTATAAAAAGTATTGCAGTAGCCTGTGGAAGGTTCTTTGAAAAAATGATATGCATAGCAAGTCAAATATAATAAACGCATATCATCAATACTCAATGCTCAATAAATACCAAGCACGCTGCTGGGATGTTTTTAAATAAATATTAACAGGTTTTTTTCTCGCCTTATATTGCAGTATTTTTTGAATTATCTGATCAAAATGAGTATGATCGTTGTTTAATAAGATATTTTCGAAGGTATTATATGCCAAAAACGACGACCTAATGTAATTTGGTCCCTAAATTGATGTTAAATAATACCATTACGGAAAGTCATGATAAATATGGTTCACGCTAATAAATTTCATCTAAATAATCAAAATAAAATAATGTATAAGGATAGACAAAAAAATTAAAATTAATCCAATTCTTGGTTTTTTAATTTGTTTTAGTGAGGAGATTACTTTGAATCTATATTATTTCACTATGCAAAAAGTTTAGAAAGTATAGGTAATGATAAAAAAGTTAGAGTTGTCAAATTAAAGACAAAGTGACATAAAAACATAAAATGTGCGTAAAACAAGATAAATGATCTGAATTGAGAACAACTCCGAAGAAGTGATTAAAAGATGTGGGAAAGGTCAGACGACTCAAAAGGTGAAACATTGCAAGTGCGATGTAATAAATATGGACAAGTTTATTAGAGAAACGTTTGCAAGTTTTATTTTTTAAATAATCATCTTACCTTAAGGTTTTATTTTACTTAAAATTTTGCCAGGAATTTTAATAAAATCTAACCAAATGTTATTGTTTCAAATACATAAATATTATTTACGTATTGTTTTTTTTTTAAATAATTATGCATTTCTCTAAACCTTTAAATAATATATAAGTTCCTTTTTCCAAGGATTGGTTACCCAACTTCACCGCAAGCAAAAGACTGAGCCTTCGGAAAAGAAGATTTACAAAAAATCTTTCGACGGCCCTCGGCCAAGGCCAAGTGATGGTAAGAAATGTTTGAATTTTATACATATGTTGTGGGGTTATGTTAAGGCGAGGGCACGCTTTACCATACATTGAGTATTGACTAATAGATGCGTCGTGTCTGGCAAAGAATGCGTTAACAGAACAAGTTTTCGGTATAAGTAATTCAATTCAGTAACGTTTAGTTTTACATAACTTTTAAAGAACGTCAAAAAAGTATGCCTGGTTATTAAATGTAATGTTGGCGTTAAATTTATTGTCTTTTTTTCTGTTTTTCTTCTTTTTGGCATTGTTACAAGGTTATTGTTTCTCTTCTCAAAAAACTTACTAATTCTAATTCTCAACCTTGACTCTTTATGTTTATTAATATCGGCTTCTGAATTTAGCCAAAGATAGCTGAATCAAATTAGTGTGATTCAAAAAATATGTACCCTTCTTTACAGACATCCTATACACGGGATGTCACAAATTCGCTTTTTCACTATTGTAAACTCTGTAACTAAAACTAATGAAATCGGTGAAATGGAGCAAAAAAGTTTATTTTGAGTCCGTTTTGAAATTCAGAAAATTCCAACTACTTCCTGAGATACTACTTCAACTGACATTTTTAAATTGATAACATTTTGTTATAAATGATAAAATAAGAAATTAAAATCTGCCATGTAATAAATTAGTCGGAATGTTGCCAATTTTAACACGGCTTTAGCACATACCTTGTTCCCGTTCCCTGACT